ATATATAATTATGAATGTAATATTAACAGATGAATCACGGTGTTCTCGATCGTGAGCCAGCTCTGGACAGAGTTTGACTGGAAAATTAAAACTAGATCTTTTTAAAACTCCATTATAAACTTTCATTTCCAAGGGTACAAGTACAGATAAATGCTGGAGGGACTGTGGTATGGTCAGTGACCACAAGCATTTGGGACTACTCAAAAATTAAGACCTTTAGAGAGACCATTAAACAGAAGATGGAGGGCATTCTAAGGACATATCTTCCCGTGGACCCTCTTCTATTTCTGCTGGCCATATATGCAAAAGATTTACTCACTAAACATCAATGTCACATATTGCACATTCTGTTGCTAGTGGCAAAAGACTATTACACTAAACTGGATTAAGCCGTTCTCACCAACTGTTGCTCAGTGGATGCAAAAATTGAAACATGTCCATGTGATGGGGCGTCTGACTGCCCAATCACAAATTAAAATGGACATTTTCTTACAAAGATGGTCACGACTGTCTACTTTATTTGACTAGTATGTTGCTTGATTCTGCGTGTGTCTGTTTTTTTATTTTTAATATGTGTTCATTGAGCCCAATCTCAGCATTTTACTGTTTATTTCATTGTCTGTACCATAAAGTAATAAATAAATAAAAGTAACACTCGAGAAGAAATGGGGGAAGCTAAAATAACATTACAAAACATATTTGATTAACTAAATAATTCTCCACTGATTTATTTTTTATTTTTTATAAATCAAATAAACGATGAAAATGCGAACCATGTGGTCATGATGGTTAACGGGAGTGATAGCAAAGAGTTACCTGTAGAGGGCGACAGTACACTTTACATGGTCAAACCCGCTGGAGACGCTTTCGGTGAAGAAGAAGAAGAAGAAGAAGAAGAAGAAGAAGAAGAAGAAGAAGAAGAAGAAGAAGAAGAAGAAAAAAAAGAGCGCTTTCACTTCCGGTAGTGCTTTGCTTTTAGAGTTTGTCTCGTGCATTTGTTGTAAAATAAAGGTACGTACATCTTCTCTCATAAAGAAGTTAATAAATGTAAGTGCTTTTTACTTTCAACTTTACATTCATAGATCAATTAAAATAATTTTGCAGGTTTTGTTTTTTTGCTTTGAAGTGCGCTAGCTAGTTTTAATCACAACGACAAGAAGTTTCATGCAGACACGACATGATCTAAAACCTAAACAAACTGGTGTAACTGGGACCCTGAGTACATAATTTCGTTCCACCTCATGTATCACGTGGTAAAATGACAACAAACCTTACTTGAACTGTTTATTCCAACGGTTGCAGCAGGATGTAACACTAATTATTGTTTACTTGTTGTCTGTTTTGTTTTTGTCACTGTATCAGGGTTTAGTTATGTGTACTGCAGGGAACAGTGAAGATATACCGGTAATCATCCTCAGCGATGACGATGAGGAAGACGAGAAAGAAAGTGACCTATCGTGCCTCATTGTAGATGTAAAAGATAACAAGAGTCCTGGTAAAACAGATTTATTTTGCACTTTGCTCTCTGTTCAAGTTGTCTGGAGTAAGAGCTGTTTGTGTTTCAGAGCGCGTGCCATCTTCAAGTACTCAGGATGAAGATGTGGTTGTAATGTTCAGCCGTGGTGCTGATGTGCTGCCTCATGCTCGTCACGACTGCCCCATATTCCCATTTGTGTAAGAAAGTGATTGCACAGACCTGGCAACACCAAATAAGTTTACTGAAAATACTAAAATCACACTGCTTCTCTTCTGTCCTCTTTAGGGCTACAGAAAATGAGACCAGTGCTCCGGTGGACAATAATCAGCTTATTTGTGATCAGTGCTTCTGCTACGTTTGTGACAAACCGGCATCATCAGTGCGTGTAGTCTGTAAATCTTCCAGAATTAAAGATGTATTGTAATTGTTAGTTTATTGGGCTTTTTATAGGTTTACCAAACAGCTTTGCTGGGGCTGTGTACACTGTTAAAAGTTTGTATCACATCCACAAAGTCACCAGAGCCAAATCAAGCTAATGTTATAAAATGTTATTTTAAAGATGCTATAATTTACATTTCTAATCAATTTTTGTTGTTATGAATTTATGTACCCAGAGCTCCTGCCTAAACATGTCTTTCTGCCTCTTCAAACCAAGTGCCCACACCTCCTGTAAAACCAGCAAAGTATTTACCATATTTTCCACCGTACCCGTCGATTCGCCGTATACGTCGCATCTCTTATGTGTCACAACCCGGGAACGTGGGCCGGTGTTGTGCCAAAAATCGATTGGCTGCCAAATGGTGGCCGCAGGAGCATGCACAGGAGGACTTTAACAAGATTAACACATAAAAACAATTATTTGTTTGCTCGAAATTATAGTAAAGGTGTGTCTCAGTCTAACGTTTGCTTAATAAAAGGACTAAAACGGTCAGATCAGCTGTATTCGCTGCTTTGGTGCTCCGGGAGCGCGCAGAGGGAGGGGGAAAAAAAATGAGGAACGCTGCTCGTTTCTTTGAAATTTAACAAGAAAAGCACCTAAAACAATTATTTGTTTGCTCGAAATTATAGCAAAGGTGTGTCTCAGTTGAACTTTTACTTAATAAATGCACTTTAATGGTCAAACTAGCTACATCTCGCCGGAGCGGTGCAGCTGGTTTGACTTGTTCCAAGCAGCGAGCAGAACCAAGGTGTCAGGGTATGGCAAGCCGATTGTGTCACTAATAGTTGGTGAAAATTCTCAGTCATCCAGGACATGATAAATTCATCAAAGTTCAAGACAAAAACAAATTATGAATTAAAGAATAATAAATGAAGTCCAGTTGTTTTTTATTGAACTTTTTTGAGTTTGTTATTATAGCCATGTTTACCTATTACATGATACAACGGCATGCCTTATACCTACTACTCTGCTACCATCTAGTGGCTGAAAGTGGTAGTGTTCAATATTTTCAGTCTGAATGAAAACGGTCATATCTCAGCCAAAAATTGGTTTATAAATACGAGAAAAATCCATAACTATGTCGCTTCAGCTTATAAGTCGCAGGGCATGTAAATTATGCACACACAAAAAACATGACTTATAGGTCGAAAAATACGGTAGTTTTACTGCACATTTCTTTCAGGATTTGATTTGAATTCTGCACACACACATTGCATTATCACACAGCAGGTCTATGATGTACAGATGTGTTTAAATAGTTGCTTCTAGACTTATGTTTGTTGCTTTTTTTTTTTTTTTTGCTAAGAAGTAGTGATTATATTGTTTGTCATACTGTTTTTTTCAGTGTGTTGTGTGGTGTCAAGGCGGAGTATGTCACTGCAACAGCCACAAAAAAAGCGACTTCTGGAAGAACGTCAGATATATGCACCTGGTGGGTGATCTGGCCTTGTTCAACCTGGCTCTGTCTGACATCGATTTGCATCTTCGACGTGCAGGTATTAGCTTTCACCTTCATCGTTGAAGAGCTTCAGCTTAAACCAGTTGGAAGATGATCAGAGTTGTCTGTTTTCCCCGCCACCATATTTGTTCCTCTCATTTCAGCCACAATGCTGCAGAACTTCAGAGAGCAAGTTTCTAAACTCTTCTCATCCTATAGTTCGCCACGTGACCAGAACCAACAAAGCTCTATTCAAGAGTGAGTCATAATGGTCCATTTTCAATCGGTGCTTTTTAACTTGAGTCTTCAAAGAGATGAAGGTTTTGAAAAATCATGAACTAACAGAAACACAAAAGATTTGACGGAAATCTTTGGATTATTTGATGCAGTGACTGACACCTGAAACTCCATTGTTTGTAAAATAAAGCCTGTTTTGTTCAACTCTAGAACCGTTAGTTGATTAGAAAACTGCAGAATGTAATAAAAGTGCAAACTTGCTGATTTTATTTTATTTTTCCTGCAGTTATACTTCTGTGTTTGAGTTGGTGTCGTCGTTCCTGAACAAAGCAGAAGAACAGAACTGCAGCGCTGCAGCCATTATGCATCTCGGAGCTGCTAAGGAGTTTCTCACACATTTCCAAGCATCGTGGTACATAAAGCAACAGCAACTACTTCTAGATTAAATGCAAACTTAAATCCCACATTTTTATTATTAATCTACTTTAAAAAAAATTGCTTCCTGCAGGCCTATAGGACCCTCGCTAACCTCTAAAGTGTCTGAAGCTAAGATGATGTTACTACAGAGGTAAAAACACAGAATCCCAATTAACGTCAAGTCTTTGCCCAATTCTTGTAGATATTTACTTTATTTTTTATATGTTTTTGTTTCAGAGTAATAAAAACAGTCCAGAGGCTTATCGTGATGGCTGGTCTTCCTCTACAGTTTATTTACAAGTTACAGGATTTTTACCAGAAAGAAATTGTTCTACCAGTTGAGATGAAGTCGCTAAGCAGCAGGTGTGTGCAAAGTCTTTTTATTCATTAAAGTTGCATATAAAAACACGCTCGCATACTAGAAAACCGGATTCCAAAAAAGTTGGGACACTAAACAAATTGTGAATA